AACCAAACGCCTAGTATCTGAGAAGCAATGAGTCGATTTATCGCGATTTCTAGAATTTTCTTTTCACACGAATCGACAAATTGCAGCGTTTGGCAGAGTACTTCCTTTGTACTTTTCATTCTGCTCGTTCTTTGCTCGGAAGCGAGCGCGTACAAAGTACCCGGCGCGATACTAAGCTCGGCGTAGTTTATTACTCACCGGAAACTGAAATAAAAAAAATAAAATAAAAACCAAACGCCTAGTATCTGAGAAGCAATGGGTCGATTTATCTCGATTATCGCGATTTCTAGAATTTTCTTTTCACGCGAATCGACAAATTGCAGAGTACCCGCTTTTGTACTTTTCATTCTACTCATTCTTTGCTCGCAACACGCTTCCCTTCGGAAGCGAGCGCGTGCAAAGTACCCGGCGCGATACTAAGCTCGGCGTAGTTTATTACTCACCGGAAACTGAAATAAAAAAAATAAAATAAAAACCAAACGCCTAGTATCTGAGAAGCAATGGGTCGATTTATCTCGATTATCGCGATTTCTAGAATTTTCTTTTCACGCGAATCGACAAATTGCAGCGTTTGGCAGAGTAACCCCCTTTGTACTTTTCATTCTGCTTGATCTGTGCTCGCAACACGCTTCCTTTCGGAAGCGAGCGCGCGCAAAGTATCCGGCGCGATACTAAGCTTGGCGTAGTTTATTACTCACCGGAAACTATGAAGACCACGCCGGCGACAAAGACGCAGAGCCTGTGTCTCGGATGAGTAACGTGAGCCGTGAAGTAACAAACTTCGGCCACCACCAGCAGCGATGTTGCAGCGAAGAAGAACATTGCCGACTTGGTAACTGCATCTACGTAAAAAAATACGAGCACCGGAGGCCCGACGAATGAGAAAAGTTCGCTGTCGAAATTTCTCTTCTACCAAGTTCTCCAACTATTCGGTTATTACGTGAAAATACAAGGAGAATCACCGATGAGAGAGAGAAAGATTTTTTTTCAGGTTCTGCAGCGAATATACAATTCGTAGGAATGAAACGTCGAGGAGTCGCTGTATTTTAACACACGATGCTCGAATGCGAATTTCAAAATTACGAGAGTGCAACGAATGAGAACGTACGTTCCAGAACGCAATATTAATTATATCCTCTTAGAAGAAAGAAAGAAAGAAAGAAAGAAAAAAGAGAAAAAGATCGGAAAGTCTCCATTCGAAAGTGGCAACAATTTCCAGCGTTTTCGCAACGATCGGCAGCGACGAACTTCTATCTCGAATGTAATTAAAAATCGCGTGAAAACGAGGTGACCGGGGAAACCGTTCTCGAAGGAAAGCGAAATTTTCCTGAAATTTCGTATCGTGGTTTCTCGGTGTGCAGCGAGCGCTGGCAAAGAAGGGAAGAGGATCGAAAGGAGCGAGGGAAAATCGGGACAGACAAATTGTCGGATCCAATTTATCCACGGACGGTACGATTCTGCCAGTTGAAAGCGTTTTCCCGCCGCCGAATATTTTACGAAGCGCGTCACACTCGAGTTATCGGTGCTAGACAGAGGACACCTAATCAACCCCCTTCAAAGGCACGCGCGTCCCCCCGCGTACTCGATCTCTCGGCTCGATCTGTCCACGTTTCTCGCGGCGAATATACTCACATGGTATTGCCATGGTTGAATCGCTGGGATCTGGGCTGTACTCCTCGTTCGGAAAATAGTCGATGCTCGAGCACTCGTACTCCGTGCGGGGGCCTGGAAAACAAAAGGAAGCGATCTCTGTATTTTGACCTGGCTTTCGTGCTCGTTCGTCCGAATGCACCGCGTGGTTGCAGCTTGATCACGCGGAGAAAATTGCTCGATACCAATGTAAATTCATTCCCCGTTTTTTCGTCACGCTTTTCAGCTGAACGTTCCAATGGCGATGCGCAAACGACTGTTTCGTTCCTCCGTCGTTTTTCAGC